TTTAAAGTTTGTATTTTCTTATGATTTATTATAAGATTTATAACATAAAAATTGATTTTCCGAAGATCTTTTTTTTTTGTCAATTTCGTCCCTTTTCTCAGCACCTAGCCCATATTTTTTTATAGATTAACTTTTATAAGATACTTTTTTTCTCAAGTTAATCTGTCACCTCTTGAGAAATTTTGAAATATAGCCTTTTAATATAAATGTACTGCATATAGCAACTTCAAATAAGATTATTACGTTTCTAAAATTTAATATTGCTATATCAGATGTTTAAAGTGATAATTTTAAATATCTTGAGTAACAATTCAAATATCTAGAATAGAGAAAGATATACCATATTATTTTTCTTATTTAAAAAATTAAATACTCTCCAAAATACGCTTTAATTGATAATTTTATATAAAGTAAAAAAAAAATTCCTGATAAAAATTGTGAATATGTCCCCAAAATTTATAAATTTTCATTATCAAATATATATTAAAACAGAACTGATATAAATATACATACTAAAATTTGCATAATATTAAAAAAACAAATTATAATCATGAGTTTAATAATGGCTCATTTAATTTATTCAATAGCTCAATTGCTTGGGCGTCATTTTCTTGAGCTGCAAACTTCAAATACTTTAAGCCAAGCTCTTTATTTTGGACAACTTTAAGTTTTCCCTTAACATAAATATCGCCTAAATTCCGCATTGCATCAGTATGCTTATTATCAGCAGCTAATTTTAAATAATGTAGAAATTCTCTACGTATTGTTTCACTTCTAATTCCAGGATACAAAGAAACAGCATACCGATATTGGGCATCTGAAATATCATTATCAGCAGCTTCTTTGAAAAGTAAATTTGCTTGCTCTTTATTCTGTTCAACAAAATAACCTTCATATAAGTAATAACCTTTCCAATATTTTGCCAGTGGATCACCAAGCTCTGCATTGTCTTCGAAACATTTCCAAGCTTCCTCAAAATTTCTATTACGATGAAGTTTAATTCCTTCTTCAAGAGACTTTACAGGATCAATTAATTCATCATCATTAATTGACAATTCGTCGCTGAATTTTGGCATCAAAGAAATTTTATTCTTTGAAGTAATAGTCCCATCAAAGTCTAATGATTTATCGGGCAAAAGGCCGGAAGGAGCGGGCGAAGTAATAGGGATTGGATAAGCTATTGCTAATCCTTCAAGTTTTTCAAATAGAGTTGTAATGCTTATTCTCTGGTGTGGTACATGTTGCCACGCTGTTTGTCAATTAGAATAAATGAATTATAAGAGTGTATAAATTAGTATCAAAAAAAAAATAAACGGAATATTTAAACAGATCAATTACCATTATCAATAATTTTAATAAACTCTCTTTGAATCACTTCGTCATTAGAATTAATGAATTTTCCGAATAAAAGCTTTTCACGTTTACCACTTAAAACATAGTTTGTTACGTCCTTAAAAGTCAAATTGTCATACGGAATTTTTTCGTAACAAAGTTCCCAAATGAGCATTCCGAAGCTAATTAAATACAAAAAGATAAATATCAATAAAATATAGATCCATAGAGAATCCAAAATATCTTAATGTGTAGTAACTATATAGTAACGATATATTAAATTTAATAGTAATTATGTGTATAATCACTATGTAGTTATAGCGCATTGAGATAACCAGGATTCTGTATGTTCAAAGATATTAATTCGTATGAGTACCTGAAAATTTCACAATTAAAAGTGTAACGTTTTTTATGCTTTGCAAGATTCGATTCCTGATATTTCTCTATTTGTTCAGGAGCCATCCAGCGAATAACATTGATTAATTGATCAGAAAGATTAGTAGTAGTATCAGCATTCGTATCACGAGCATATTTAAAATTTCCAAGTTTTGGATCCAAGCCTCGTGTTACCTATAATTTGATACGATACTTAGTGTTAGCGACTAATTGCTTTTATAATTTTAATTATAATTTTAATTATAATTTAATTAATACATACCAAAACATTTTCGCATCTAATATCATGATGGAAAATGTTTACTTCACGTAAGAATAAGATAGCACGACAAATATCACGAATCATTTGTATTTTTCTAGTCCAAGCGATATCATAATTGTCATAAAGATCTTTTAAGCTTCTATGTTCAGCCCATTCAGATACCATAACTTCACGGTTGTCAATATATGAAAGACCGTAAAAGCGGAGAATGTTTGGAGATAGACTTAATTTTCCGAGGATTGTTAATTCAGCTTGACGTTTTTTAGGATCTTCGATAGGCTTACAAGTAACCTCAAAACCTTTATAAAATTTTTTCTGAAGAGGACGATGTAAACCACGAAAGTCGGTATTTTTTGGAAAGGGAGGATTAATTAGTTCCTTTGCGTCAATTGTTGGCACAGTGATTTCGCCTGATTGCTTTTTATCAATTTGAGATTTTATGATGGAAATTTCTTGAACTACCATATCTATTTTACCTCCAATACCATTTTCAAGCATTTCAATTTTGTTATTGGTATTTTCAATACCATCCTCAAGTTTTTCTATTTTAATAGTGGCATTTTCAATACCATCTTCGAGTTTTTCAAGAGTCTAAAATTAAAAAGTACCTTAATAAATACTAAATATTAATAAATGAATAATATATAATTACAGTTGTACACACCTCTTCGATATCCTTTAAAGATTGGTCAACTTTTCGAGATTCAGAATCCCTTTCTTCTTTACTAACGACCACAATAGCAAAATGTAAATCTTTCATACAGGCATCATACTCTTTAGTTAAATTGTCATATTGAAATTTAACATTTGTTGCACTAAAAAACTTTCTATAGCCTTTAAGTTTTGAAACTTTAATTGTAAAATCCTTAATATTTTTCAAATTGATTTCAAATCTTTTGAAAGCATAGAAATAATCCTGATTACAAAAATATTTTTCATTCTCTTCTTTTCTCCTCATCA